CATCAGTGTTTTATAGTTTTCTGACTACAAGCCTTTCATCTCCTTAGGCAGGTTTATTCCTAGGTATTTTCTTCTTTTTGTTGCAATGGTAAATGGGAGTGTTTCCTTAATTTCTCTTTCTGATTTTTCGTTGTTGGTGTATAGGAATGCCAGAGATTTCTGTGATTAATTTTGCATCCTGCAACCTTACCAATTCATTGACTAGTTCTAGTAGTTTTCTGGTGGCATCTTTAGGATTTTCTATGTATAGTATATTGTCATTGGCAAACAGTGACAGTTTTACTTCTTCTTTTCCAATTTGGATTCCTTTTATTTCTTGCTCATCTCTGACTGCTGTGGCTAAAACTTCCAAAACTATGTTGAATAATAGTGATGAGAGCGGGCAACCTTGTCGTGTTCTTGATCTTAGTGGAAATGGTTTCAGTTTTGCACCATTGAGAATGATGTTGGCTGTGGGTTTGTCATATATGGCCTTTGTTATGTTGAGGTAGGTTCCTTCTATGCCTACTTTCTAGAGAGTTTTTATCATAAATGGATGTTGAATTTTGTCAAAAGCTTTTTCTGCATCTATTGAGATTATCATATGGTTTTTATCTTTCAGTTTGTTAATATGGTGTATCACGTTGATTGATTTGCGTATATTGAAGAATTCTTGCATTCCTGGGATAAACTGCACTTGATCATGGTGTATGATCCTTTTAATGTGCTGTTGGATTCTGTTTGCTCGTATTTTGTTGAGGATTTTTGCATCTATGTTCATCAGTGATATTGGCCTGTAGTTTTCTTTCTTTGGGACATCTTTGTCTGGTTTTGGTATCAGCGTGATGGTGGCCTCGTAGAATGAGTTTGGGAGCGTTCCTCCCTCTGCTATATTTTGGATGAGTTTGAGAAGGATAGGTGTTAGCTCTTCTCTAAATGTGTGAGAGAATTCGCCTGTGAAGCCATCTGGTCCTGGGCTTTTGTTTGCTGGAAGATTTTTAATCACAGTCTCAAGTTCAGTGCTTGTGATTGGTCCAGTTCTTGGTTTGAAAATTGGGTTGGAGAAATGAAATATTGGATCAGAGATGAATATAAGCTCATTTATTCTGTCATTGATCACGTGACTTGAATATGTTTTGTTACTGGTCTTAATACAGGATTTATTTTTGGGACTTCCCTGGCAGTCCAGTGGTTAAGACTGTTTTTGCACTGTAGGGGATGTGGGTTCGATCTCTGGTCCGGGAAGTACGATCCCGCATGCCACACGGAGTGGCCAAAAAAAAATATATATATATATACTGGATTTATTTTATTTTTGTTTATTTGAGGTTAGAACTTTTCGAAGATTTTTATCTTGTATATTTTAATACGTGATTTATGTAAAAGAATATGTACTTAGATACCCAGAAGGAGGGGAGAATTAATTTCTATTCATCATATGTACAATAAGTAGTTTGGGTTACTTTTCGAAATACAGTATCATATATTTGTTCATTTGTTTGATGATAAACCAGCACATGGTATTCAACTGCCTCTTTAGAGGGCATGGAAAAGGGAGAATTTTAGTTATTCCTGGGAAAGGCTGTATGAATAAAGATGTCAGTATTTTTTAGCACATGGGAACATTTAAAGGTGAATATCTGCTTTAAAAGAGGCACACATCAATTTTGCTATACATATTAAATTCCTATAGTATTCTTGTTTATAATATAGTTAAACATATGCATCATATTGTCCATTCAAGGATAGAGCAAGATTAATCTCTAACTTTTAGTAATATCCAAGTCATGAAGATAAATCTAAAAGCATAAATTTTCTACATTTCCATGTTATATGAAAAAAATTAATTCTTATTTATAAAAAAGGGATTAAATGTCAGATGAGAGTTTAAGTCTATAATTTTATTCTTGAAGGAATCACTGTGGAATGCTAAGAAGATTTGGTTTGAAAGAGCTTAGTAACTGTGTTTCCATGGACCTCCATTTTCAAAGGCTATTTTTCACAAAGTTGAGCTATTGATACTGTTTTACCATCTGATACTTTTTTGACATTCATGTAGCAATATTTCAAATGGGAAATTATATCTTGAGAGGATAGATAGCTAAAAAAAGAGTATGCAATCCTCTTCTCTTCTTTTCACAATAATCACAGCTTGGCCTTTGGTCTGACTTGAGACTATCCTTCTCTACAGCACAGTGGGAGGCGGCTTATTCTGCTGGAATTAAGTGGGGCAAGATGCCATGTGATAATAATAACTGCTTCTATCTCTCCTAATGTGAAGTTTTAAGATACCAACTATTTGGTAAAGACAGATGTGTAATACATTTTCTGGATTTTTATCTCCTTTTTTTTTCCTGCCAGTTAACGTATTATTTTTTCTTTAAAAGCTCTAAAAGTTTCATGTCAGTGAACAGGAACAGAATATTTTACAGAAAAATTAAAAAGTTTTTTTTTTGTAAAGATGCACCCCTACTGATGAAGTGTTTGTGCTGGGAATGATAAGGGTAGTTTCCCTATTGTTCACACAGCAGGCTGTCATGTTTTTCTTCTTAATAGGGAAAGGTCTTATCCTCAGCATTGCTGCATGAGTTTTTCAGTTACTTGGCAACAATAATAAAAAAAAAAACACAAGCAGTTAAAGGACCCATCATCAACATCATGACAAACAGTAGTTCCTCAGCTGGTTTTAATGGCCATATGGAGACATTAAATTTCTTGCCTTCAAGAATTAAGCCCAGTGCGTAAGATCAGATTGAGCTCTGGTATGTGCAGCAATGTAAAACATTTTAGCCGTTGTATGTGAATTAGTATGTGGAAAATAGTGAATAAACATGAGGCATTCACCTGAATAAACAAAGTACCCCTGGAATGCACAAGACAAACAGATTTTTCTAATTTAGATATCTGGATGCATATTTTTGGCACATCCTTATGATCACGGCCAGCTGATATGGATATTATGAGGTCATCTACTGTGTGTATGATGATGTCTGTTGGTAAAGCATTAATCAATAGAAATAAATACTTGGTTAAGAAATGCTGCCATTAATAAATGAATATTTAAAACCAATCAGGATGTGGGAGAAACCCAACATGAGATACAAACACTAACAAATGAAACTACCGGTAATAAAAATCAATAACATAACTATACTGAAGGTAAGGGGGAAAGAACTAACCCAAATAACCTTAGAAAACAATAACTTGACTGGATGCTAAAAGGATAAAAATGAAAAGAACTGTGCACAAATGTTATGTAGTCAGTAAATATGTTTCTCATAGAGGCATTGATAAGACATTCTGAAACTAATTTATGTGAATACTAGAATTGAACAAATAAGTAAATAGGTTGTTAACAATAAAACTAAGATTTCTTACAATTGGAGAAAGAAATTACAATTAAATAAACTGGGGAGATTAAAAAGATTCCTATGGTGTTAAATTGGAATCTGAGGTATTAGTATAAACTCATTACAGACACACACACACGCACACACACAGATATAAAAATAGATATGTGTGTATACATGGGTTAATACACAAATATTTCCCAGTCCTGGCTGCTGAGAGAGCCTAGAAACAATGAGATTCCAGTAGTAATCAGCATACCTAGAGAAAAGATCTTGGTTTCTTAAGCATCATTCTTCTATAAAAGGAACCAAGGATCCTTGGAAAGGTGGTTCTTTCAGGGCTGAGATGGAAAAAATCAAAATGAGCTTGGAACATCTTGTAGAACCAGAAAAAAAAAGAATATTCTCAAAAGATACGGGGAAGAGAGCATTGTTGAAAGAAGACAACATTAGAAGGACCTCTTAATGGCCAAAGCTTTGAGCAACAAAATAAATAATGCTAATATTGGATTATAACCCAAAGAATAAAAAAAATTCCTGAGTCCATAACAATATAAATAATTAAATATGTAGATGGAAGAGACACGACAGCTCCTCCTCATAGTGGAATTGCAATTAATAAGTATTTAAAGAAGGGAAATGGAAGCCACTATTAGGCATATATCACAGTGGTGATTACTGCATACTTAATCTACTAATGGGTGCTACAATCAGTGCATCTGAGGAGAGAACATATTTGCACTGTCTCAAATTATCTCCCTGCAAGATACTTGTTGACTACAGGAGAAATCATAGTAACTTTACAGTGGAAATGCCCAGCAGAGATCATTTTGACCAGGTGATCAAGGTCATTGTTGCCGGTAGTAAGATGCATTGAAATCAGGAACCCTGTGATATTGGTGCACTGTTGAAAGAAATGGCACCATTTCTGTGTTTCTCCTTTTTTTTAAAAAATAAATTATTTTATTTTTGGCTGCGTTGGGTCTTCGTTGCTGCACGCGGACTTCTCCCTAGTTGCAGGGAGCGGGGGCTACTCTTTGTTGCGGTGCATGGACTTCTCATTGCGGTGGCTTCTCTTGTTGCAGAGCACGGGCTCTAGGCACACGGGCTTCAGAAGTTGTGGATCGTGGGCTCTAGAGCGCAGGCCTAGTAGTGGCACGCAGGTTTAACTTCTCTGCGGCATGTGGGATGTTCCTGGACCAGGGCTCGAACCCGTGTCCCCTGCATTGGCAGGCGGATTCTTAACCACTGTGCCACCAAGGAAGACCCTTTGTGGTTCTCTTTTCAAGGAACTATGACCTCAGTCCAGTAATGAGAAGATACCAGATAGGCCTAAAGTGATGGACGTTCAGCAAAATAACTGATCAATACTCTTCAGGGCTGACGGTGTATTGAAAAAGCAGGAAAGACTGAGGAACTATTGTAGATTGTAGGAGTCCAGGGAGAAATAACAACTAAACGCAATGTGGGACACTGATTAGGATCTTTAGAAAGGATAATAGTGGAAAAAATTATGAAGTTTAAATGAGGTAGTTAGTTTGGTTAATGCTACTAAGACAAAAATAATTACCTTGTTCTAGTACTCGTATGATGGTTACCTAAGATGTTAACATTGGACAAGGCTGGATGAGGGATAAACTCTCTGCACTATTTTTGCAACTTTTCTATAAGTCTAAAAGTAGTTTCAAATAAAACGTTTTTAAAAATTGCCATTATACCCCCGCCGCCCCAGTGCCGGCCCTTCCTAGGGAAAGACGCCGGTGAGCGCCCGCGGCCGCCGCCTCCAGGCCCGGAGCCGCCCTGGAGCCCGCGCTGGCCTGAAGCACCGCCGCCGTCCGACGTGCTTGGGGACGCGGCCCTGCAGCGCCTGCGCGACCGGCAGTGGCTAGAGGCGGTGTTCGGAACCCCGCGGCGGGCCGGCTGCCCGGTGCCCCCGCGCGCGCCCGCCAGCCCCAACCTGGGCGAGGTGTGGGCCCGGTTGCACGTGTCCCTGCGCCTGGTGCGGCGGCTGCGCGACCCGGGCCATGCGCTGCGCGAGGCCGAGGCTGACGGCGTGGCCTGGGCACAGCTGCATGCGGAGGCAAAGCCGCTGCGCGCCGAGCTGGCCGAGCGACTTCAGCTCCTGACCCAGGCAGCCTATGTGGGCCAGGCGCGGCGCAGGCTGGAGAGGGTCCGGCGCCGCCGGCTGCGGCTTCGCGAGAGGGCCCGGGAACGCGAGGCCGAGCTGGAGGCGGAGGCCACGCGGGCAGCGGAGCGCGAGCAGGAGATTGACCGCTGGAGGGTCAAGTGCGTGCAGGAGGTGGAGGAGAAGAAGCGGGAGCAGGAACTTAAAGCTGCTGCTGATGGTGTCCTATCTGAAGTGAGGAAAAAACAAGCAGACACCAAAAGAATGGTGGACATTCTTCGGGCCTTGGAGAAATTGAGGAAACTCAGGAAAGAGGCTGCAGCAAGGAAAGGGGTCTGTCCTCCAGCCTCAGCAGATGAGACCTTTGAGCATCACCTTCAGCGACTGAGAAAACTCATTAAAAAACGCTCTGAATTATATGAAGCTGAAGAGAGAGCCCTCAGAGTTATGTTGGAAGGAGAACAAGAGGAAGAGAGGAAAAGAGAATTAGAGAAGAAACAGAGGAAAGAAAAAGAAAAATTTTTACTACAGAAGCGTGAAATTGAGTCCAAGTTATTTGGGGATCCAGATGAGTTCCCACTTGCTCACCTCTTGCAGCAGCCTTTCCGGCAGTATTACCTCCAGGCTGAGCACTCCCTGCCAGCGCTCATCCAGATAAGGCATGATTGGGATCAGTACCTGGTGCCATCTGATCATCCCAAAGGCAACTCCGTTCCCCAAGGATGGGTTCTTCCCCCGCTCCCCAGCAACGACATCTGGGCAACCGCCATTAAGCTGCATTAGTAAAGATGCTCCAGGAGTGTCGTCCAGCCAAGGCTCTTTCCAGCTCTAAGTATTAGTGACGCTGCCATCTTCTTGTACTGTAGTATAAATCACAACCTCTAAACTCCATGTGGCATTTCCCTACCCAGAAGTTACGTTTCCCTTCTGTCCTCTGTCCTGGCCAAGGTGCCTCTTGAATCAGGAGATTAATATGGTTCCTCAGGAAAGGACCTAGGTGAACTGAGGTTTTTACGACAGGCAGTGGCCTTGGTTCATGAAATTCGCCTCTGTTTTGAGGGGCTTGGTCCAGATTGATTTATAAGTTTACTCTTATCTTTCTTGTGTGGTGATGGATAAGTATACGCTATACACTCATACCCTCGACACAGGTGTGCACTGGGTAGATTTAGCAGTCCCTCCCCCAGTACTCCTTGTTAAGGCAAGCTTGATGCAAAACCTCCTTACCTTTCTTACCCAGAGAGCCTCCTAACTTCCAGGAAGAAAGGTCAGAAACGCTTTATCTTCAGTTTTGTGAATCCCACTTTTGGTGCAGCTGGAGAGGCTGGGTTGCCAGAAAAGCTGGTGGCGTTGTCTGGTAGTCAAGTGGAGAACTTGGAAAGCCTGAAGAGTACCTGTACCCAAACTGGATGGTGTTTTAATGGATGATGGCTGCATTTTCCCCATATTAGAAGGATCCTAATGAAAGCACCTGCTTTTTAAGTTCATAGAGGTCTGCTTGTTCAGAATCCGCAAGGATAAAAATTAATTTCCTTATGGGAGTGGGACCTTGATTAACCTCACTCAGTCACATTGTGGGAGCTGGTATAGTGGAAATTGTGGAATTTTCTTAGGAACTCAAGCTTCCAAAAATATACATGTAGTTTAAGCTGGGGGAAAAGCAGATAAAAATAATAAAATTTATTTTTTTATACTCATTAAAAAATGCCATTATAAAAAATTCAGGAAGACTTCCACATTAGTTGCTGTAAACAACTTTCAAAATAGGCAGAATATATGAAGTGACTGGAAAACAGTCAGCACAAGATTATGATCCCCAAAAGTAGGAAAACGGATGAGGTAGGCTCCCCAAATGACCCTGTATTTCTGCTTAGAGGCAACGTCTAGACTGTAGTGCAAGGAGGATAAGCCACCACAGAGCGCGGTGGACTCATTGAACTGAGGATACAGTAAGTAGAGTTTGGGAATAGTAAAGCTGCTGAAATTTGCAGAGCAAGTTGGTGGCGAGAAGAGAGCTGGGTGGAGTTAATGCTCCAGAAATCTGTAGAAGGTCCCCTTGGGTCTTTCACTGAACATTAAGCTGCTCACGTAAAGGGCAGGACTCCATGGGACTGGGCAAAGAGCAACTACCAGGGGAGTTAAAAAAAATACTAGAGAGCAGTGAGCTGAACAACTATTGGAAGACAAACATGGCTGGAAGACTTCTAATATTGAACAGCCAGAGGGGAGCATCCTCTTTGAACACCCCAAGTAATTTGGTACAGTTTCAGACAAGTCTAAGCTGTAGGAATAGGATGAATGTAGTCCAAAAATAATGGCTACCATACAGCATCCTAACTGCCTTCAAATCACAGATTGGATTTCTGGGGAAGGCTTAAGTTGGAATAAGAGGCCCTAAGCCTAAAATGTTTATAGCTGCTATAGACCAGTTAGATAACAGATTGTGTTGTGAAATTCTGGCCTCTCTGGACTTCATATTCCCTCTCGTGGACTCTGGTCACTGCTCTCTCCCCGGTTCTTTCTAATATTCCTCACTGGCTGGGGGTGTTCTGTCTGAACCCTTTCACTGACACCTGGTCGGTCTGATCAAATTCTTCTTTCTCAAAGTAAAGAGAAAAATCTTATTGACATTTCAGAATTTTAAAGCATGCCCAGAGGAATTCTGATACTCAAAGCATCACTGAAGAAATCCCACTTTCTATGGATGAGGGCTTAAGTTAATTTTCTGCTCAACCTACTTAGAAAACCTGGAAATTAAAATAACAGTGAGACAATATGTTTTCACCTAAAAGTTTGACCAAAATTTAAAAGGTTGATACAATAAAATGCCTGTGAGAGTGCAAATTAAATACATTAATATGGGAGAATATGAATCAGTACAGCTTTATTTGAACAGAGTATCAGCAATATTCATAAAAATTTACAATCATCACATTCTTTCCAATTCAATCCAGTTTGCACTTTGCTGTGTATTTCCTATAAGAAAACATACATATTTGCCCAAGAATTCATGCTCAGTAATGTTGATATAAGTTCTATTAATCATAGCAACAAATGGGAAATAATTTATGTGTCCATCAGGAGGAGAATGTTTAAATTAATTATGGCACATACACACTTTAGAATACTTAGGAGTAGTTAAAAGAGTGAGATGGATCTATATGTGCTCTCAGGGAAAGACCCTGCATTCGTTTTAGTAAGTGACAAGGGCAAGAGACAGGACAATATGTACACTGTTATCCATGTATGTTAAGAAACTCACAATGTATTTTTATAACACATCTATGTAAGGAAAAGTCTAGAATCAATTTTAAAATAACACAAAATTTTAATTGTGGTTGCTTCTGAGGAGAGGGATGAATTCTAGAGGAATGTGAAAGGGAAGGGGAATTGTGAGTTATCCATACTATTAGAATCTGGGGGCAGTAAGAGCATTTGTACTATTACTTAAAACCAAAATTTTCCTCAGGGGCAAACATAGAGACAAGAGGCAGTGGAAGAATGTTGACTTTTTCTTTTCTTATCAAGGATGGCACGTCTGCCACAGAACCATTTTCCACCTCCTAGAAGTACACCTGAGTTTTTAGGAGTTCTGTCTATGTAGATGATCTTTTCTCATCTACTTCTTATGGAGGAGGCTTTGGTTTTGACCAAAAAGGTAGACTCAATCATTGGTATGTGGTCAGTGGCCAATCTCAAATAATTCAGCCCATTAAAATTCTACTGCAAATGCCAGGGTGGTTTCCAAAACCTCCTCTCTAACTTCAGGGTTATTACCCTAACAACCAGTAGATTCTGTGCCAAATCAGAATCTAGTCACCAGCAGGTTTGCAAACACTGAGAATGTGGTGGAGGCACCCAGTGGGGATAAGGAGGTGTGTAAACGTCACTGTCTGAAGTGAACAGTTACACGGAAAGGGCAGCTGCTGTCCCAGGGGTCCACAGTGACGAATGGGATCTGCGGGGAGTCGGGATGCTCTGAGTCAGAGGAGGGCAGGGCATATGGGCTGTCCGTTCCTCCGGGAGCTGAGTGCAGCCTCCAGAGGAAGATGCAGAGAAGAGCTGGCCAGCAGGTCAGGTTCCAGTCTGGACACGAGGGCACACTGGGGAAGACCCAGGGGCAGGGCGCTGTGATGCCGGAAAGTGCTGGGACTGGACCCCCGTGCCGGGACCGGGGCAATCAGCTCTCAGGGAAGCCTGGGGCAAGGGGCAGGAGGATCCTAGGTAAACGAAGCCCACAGACAATAACCAAACTGTGTCTGATTCTCATGTTCACCTTCCTTCTTTAGGCCTGCTTTTAATATTTTGGCTACAAGTTCCTCTTTCTTATTGCCTGAGAGACATCATGGAGCAGTGAGAAGAGAAATGAATTAAGAGACAGAAGGGCTGCCTCAGGCTGGGAGGAGTGGAACAGTATGGGCTCTGGAGGAATTTCGACCAGCGCTTTAGTTTTGCCCTGTCACTAGCTATGTGAACTCAGCACATTACCAAATTCTGTGAGCCTTGGATTCTTCTTCAATGAAGTGTGTTTGATAAGCTCTGTCTTCTAGGACTGTTGGAATGTGTATAATGTATGTAAAACACCTGGCACAGTGACTGGTGTGCATTGAAACTTTAAAGAGTGGCAATTTTTGCCATGATTTTTTGACCCAGATAATACCAACCCTCCTGCCGAGAATTTTTGTTTTGTTTTGCTGTTGTTTTAAACCAGGAGATATCTGAGAATATGCAGTGCTATAGGACACTGAACATCAAGTCAGCCAAAAATTCTGCTTAACAAAAAAATATACCTCAGTAAGTCATGCCCCTTAGAGGATGTATTATTTAATTTGGATGTTGGGGAATCCTCCCCATCTGGATGCAACTCAAAGCTAAATGTGTGTCAAGAACCAACTCCTTCTCTCCCTCCCAGCTGCCCTTGGATCCAAATCACCCCTATTTTCATTCATTTAACTCCTACCAAAATCAAGCCCTCGCATAGGGGTCGCCAAATTTTACTCACATTAACCCAGTTAAAATACCCTACTAATGGAGCAGGCTCTGTTTCTCCCAGTCCAGGTTAAAGAGTAGGATATGGGCACAGTGGCTTTTTGGCATCCCACCTCAAGGAAGTATCACCCTTATTTATCAGAATCTCCTTGGTGATGATGTGGATAAAACACCTAGTTTGTGCACTGGGACAAGAGCACAGGGTACCTTCCACTCCCTCCTCACGTAGAGATTTCTCTCTGGTTAATCCATGATCCCAAAATAACCGCTAAAAGCAGTTCTCCATCGGAGGCTCAGTTTCTCAACTCTGAGACACACCACGCAAGGGTCTGGCCCTTGCTCACCACGCTCACACACCCTCCTCTGACCCACCACCCATCTTAACTGAAAATTACCTCTCACTGAAGGACTTGAGGTTTTTCCAAGGCTCCAAGTTGTCTTGCCTCAGGACATTTATACTTAAGTGCTCTCATCTGGCCCTCCCCCTCCCCCTCATCCTTTTTTTTGCTTGTCTTTTTTGTCTTAGAGGGCATCTCACCATCTTCCTTATATGTTAGCTGCTGCTAGACTCTAATTCAATGGGAAAAGGCTCAGTCTTCTTTTTCTTACCACCCCCCGTACTACCATGGAGCCTTCCAAAGAGCAGATGCTCAACTAATGTTTGAGGGGAAAAAAAATGAACAATTTATTATGATTTTATTTCTCCTATATTATTGAATAAACGAAGCAAGTTCAGGTGTATAACTTTTATTTTACAGAACAGCAAAATACAAGGAATAAGGGAAACCGAGAAATGATCTTTTACATTTTTCTCTATTTTTTGATCCCAACTATTTTACTGCTAATTTCTTTCACATTTCTAAGGAAATGCCTATTACAATGCTATCTTTTCTTGTTCCAGGTCACTAAAAAAGATGGAAGGTTACCCTATTTGTTTAATAAAATGGCAAAACTATTACTCTTAAACTTCATAAACAGCATTAAGTATGTAACCAATATCATTCATATACTTAGATTCTGAAGCTAATTAAACTTTTTTAAAGAAGAAGCAACATTTGAAAACCTTCAACAACAAAACATAAATCTGTAAGTTATTCTAATATGCTATTCACTGTGATCCCTCCAACACCACCTCAGCCCCTACACTACTACAGGAAGGTGCTTCAGATTTCACTACAGGTGGGAGAAGCTGCCCTGGAAGTCGGCCCCGGAACGCACACTGGCCACGGCACCAGTGAGAAGCATAGCTGCAAATCTGGCTTGGGCTCTCTCTTCCTCATCTCTCAAAGCCTCTTGATACAAGAGTGGGAAGGCACTGGGGACCGT